TTCTGCTGCTTCTCCAGAGTCGCCTTTATCGGGTGCTCCGTCAGCAGCAACAGCAGCAGCAGCAGCAGCAGCAGCAGCAACAGCAGCAACAGCAACAGCAGCAGTTGCTGCTTCTACTTCATCGGACAGCAACAGCTTGGTGCTGCCAGAGGCTTTCACTAGCAATGCCCCTCCGCTTGCTGCTGCAGCAGCAGCAGCAGCAGCAGCAGGTCCTGGCTGCTGCAGCAGCTGGGAGTGCAGCATAAGAAGTGAGTTTGCTGCTGCAGCACCGCTGATGCTAGATGCATGCATTTTGCTGCTGCAGCGTTATTTCTGTACATTCGAGTCATTGCTGCTGCAAGAGGGGGAGGAGGAGCAGCAGCAGCAGCAAGACATGGGCGCCCACAAGACCTCAGCAGCAGCAGCAGCAGCAGCAGCAGCAGCAGCAGCAGCAGCAGAAGCCTCAAACGCCCTCAGCACCTCTGGCCGCTGCCTCGTTATACAGTGTATTTGCTTCCTCATAGAGTGCGCGCGTCTGCCTGAGTCGAGAGCTTTGCTGCTAGAGCCAGAAGCAACAGCAGCAGAAGCTGCTGCTGCTGCTGCTGCTGCTGCTGCTGCTGCTACGGCAGCAAACCTCGATACTGCCGAGGAAGCAGCACGACCTCCTGCAGCAGCAGCAGCAGCTGCTGCTGCTGCTGCTGCTGCACCTGCAGAAGCGGAGGCGCTTTTAGGGGCGCCGGCGAAGCAGCAGGTGCAAGCTGCAGCAGGACCTGCTGCTGCTGCTGCTGCTGCTGCTGCTGTTCCAGAGGAGGACAGGGCCGCCAAGCCTTCTCCTTGTCTTACGCTGCTGCTGTCTTTGCTGCTGCCGTACTGCCAGCTATCAGCAGCAGAAGAGCAGCAGCTGCAGCAGCACGCCACAAGCTTCATTGATTGGAGCAGCACCGAGCAGCAGCTGCTGCTGCAGGAGCTGCTGCAGCAGCAAGGCTACAGCAGGCAGCAGCTGCAGTTTCTTGGGTTTTCATCTGCTAGCTGCAGTGACACCTCAGCAGCAGCAGCAGCAGAAGCAGCACCAGCAGCAGCAGCGGAAGGTTCCCGCCGACGGTGGCGGCGGCAGCATCAGTATCAGCAGCAGCAGCAGCAGCAGCAGCAGCAACAGCAGCAGCAGCAGCAGGAAGCAGACGAAGAAGAAGCACTCGCCGGGCAGTCTGTACGCCGCGTTGTGCTGCAGCTGCTGCACGCCCTGGAGACGCCTGCTGCTCTTTCTCATGACTGCTGCAGCAGCACAGCAGCAGCAGGAGCAGCAGGAGCAGCAGCATGGCCGTCTTCTGCTGCTGCTGCTGCTGAGTGCTGCAGCAGCATATGCTGCCTGGATGTCGGCAGCAGCAGCCTTTCGCGGTGCTGCAGCTGGGGAGACACAACAGGAGAGGAAAGGTCGCAACAGGCAGCAGCAGCAGCAGCAGCTGCTGCTGCTGCTGCTGCTGCTGTTGCTGCTGCGCAAAGGGTTGTTGCTGCTTCGGTTGCTGAGGCAGCAGAATCCCTGCTGCTCATCAGCGCCGAGAGGCGGCAGCAGCAACTGCCGTGGTGGTCTCTTACAGAGGTGAGGCTGCTGCTGCTGCTGTTGCTGCTGCTGTTGCTGCTGTTGCTGCTGCTGCTGCTGCCGCTGCTGTTGCTGCTGCTGCTGTTGTTCCTGGTGCTTCTGG